TTTTCATTGCCAGGAGGGCATGGTGGTTTGTTTTGTTTTGCTTTTTCCTGAAAAGGGAGGAGTGGGCTAAGTATGTTTGGGAACCTATGCTCTAGAGCAGTGATTCTCAACTTGTGGGTCGCGACCCCTTTGGGGGGGTCGAGTGACCCTTTCACAGGGGTCTCCTGATTCATAACAGTAGCAAAATTAGTTGTGAAGTAGCAACGAAAATAATTTTATGGTTGGAGGGTCACCACCACATGAGGAACTGTATTAAAGGGTCGCGACATTAGGAAGGTTGAGAACCACTGCTCTAGGGTAAATGTCTTACTGAAATTGAAAGGAACACTCACTCACTGCAATTCTGACTCATAGCGACCCTATAAGGCAGGGTAGAACTGCCCCCAGTGGATTTCTAAAGCTATAAATCTTTATGGGAACAGAAAGCTTCCTCTCTCCCCTAGGGAGCAGCTGTAAATTTGAATGAACAGCCCAATGAGTAGTCAGAATATTATAGTAGTTGGATATGCACACCGCGACATGGCTTTATGATGCATCACTCTTTCTGAATTTCGCTTGTTTTGTTGTTTTCATTGCATTTTAATCATGTCCTTTTGCTTCTGCTTCTCTCCAGACCAGTATTAAGGAGGGACAGCTATTGAAGCAAACCAGTTCTTTCCAAAGGTGGAAAAAGCGATACTTCAAACTTCGGGGCCGTACCCTTTATTATGCGAAGAATTCAAAGGTAAGGGGGAAAAAAGACCAGTAGCTAGTGACTGGCACTTGTTAATGGATTTGAAATGTTGGTGCTTTGCCATGCTGGCCTTTTTCTTTGGCTCCCCCTCCCCCATTGCTGCTGTTGGGATTGAACTTTAATCGGACCCAGGACAGCTCTAGTGTAGTCTGCGGTCTTCCGTTCCTCTTCCTTCCCATGGAAATGAAATGTCAAATTTAACTCTATTAGATGTGCCCATCCACGACTGTTGAGTCATTTCTGACTCACAGCAACCCCATGAGACAGAGTAGAACTGCCCACAGGGCTCCCGGGACGTCAGTCTTCATGGAGCACAACGCCACGTCTCCCACCAAGCAGCTGGGGAGTTTGAATCACCCACCATTCAGTTAGCAGCCCAGCACTTAGCCCATTGCACCACCAAGGCTCCTGTATGTTAGCTCTGCAGAACCCACACTTTTGCTTTTCCTCCTTTCTGGAACTCTTCTTCTGTGTAAGTCATTCTCAGAGGGTGCGGAGAGGGAATTGCTCTAGTTGCTCCGAGGTCCTGTGAGAAAAGAGACGGTCTCCAACTCCGTGCGTTCCTATGGAGTGGCTGTCGCAGCCTTAGTGTCGAGAAGGGGTTAAATGAGATAAGACATCCTGGTGGCACATTTGTTAAATGCTTGACTGCTGGCTGAAAGGTGGTCTGACAGCCTCCAACCCACAGACTACGGGAAGATGAAGCCCTCTGCTTCCCCACAGGTTATAGACTTGGAAAACCGGGGGCCCGGCTCCACACTGTCCTTTGGGGGTCACCAGGAGTTAGAATAGACTTGATCCTGGCAGCTTTTAAAGGATGAGACACAGTGTACATGAACTGCAGATGTCATGACTGACCCAAAACATGATTCAATTATGTTGGTGATTCATAATACAAATCATATTGAAACAATACCAAGACCGCAACTATTTTTAATGTAATGCTTGACTAGAATGCCCTCCATTGAATCTATTCAGTTATAATAGTGCTGCAGTTTCAAAAGGAAAACTTGTCATCATGATGAGTCTCCATTTAAAATTGATATTTTAGGGGGGAGCGGGGAGGGAGGGGAAAAATGAGGACCTAATGGAGAGAAAATGTTTTGAGAAACGATGTACAAATGCGCTTTACACAATTGATGTGTGTATGGATTGGGATAACAGTTGTATGAG